GGTTTTCAAAGTTTTTGACGTAGAAAACTCGCTCAGAACCTCTCATGAAACCTTGAAAAGTGGTTTTCTGTAGGTTTCGCGACGTATTCTATCAATTGGACAGATAAAAGAAATTTTTTTAGCGCAAATGGTTTTTCGGCTTGAAAACCAAGATCTTCAAAAACCGGGATTTTAAAGTCAAAATTAGCCCAAATGATTATGAAATTCGGAATCAGCATGCTTAATTACCCCCGGTCAACTGAGTCTCAGCTCAAAAATGAGGGAACACTTGGTGGCCTTCCCTCGTCAGTCCAATGACGTAGTTTTCTCTGGTCTTGTAAAACGTCGTAGAAAATTGTCAGTTTTAAGGACAATTTTTCATGTTTTTTCAACTTTTGTGCGTGTACTATTTCATTCTCTATTATTCAAGTTTTCTTGGGTTTTTTCTTTCTTTGGTTTTTCGTCCCACACATAACAACATTCAATGGGGGCTTATTCCAATTTGTTGTATTTTTTCTTTCTTTTTTATCATTAATTAAACTAGTTTAAGCCAAATTATTGTGATAAAAGTAATATTATTCGCGAATAGCGTCGTTGGTTTAAAAAGTTTATCGATAAAATTGCTCAAGTTTCACTGTTGCTCATTCGGTGGGTTTGCCTTCATCCTATAGTATTTATGAATATAACAATTATTATTATATCTATGTAAGTCATAATAAATTTTTAGTATGTAAATGCGGTCCTACATACGCAACATAGTAAACGATCTTCATTTGTTCAGTGATTTTCTTTCTCGAACAAAAAAAAACATATATTTTTCTATTATACATCATCTCTGTTGACTCTAACGACAAACATTGCAGTACTCAGCAAAATGACCTTCTGTATTGCACAATATATGGCTACATTCTTCTAATATCACGCTGATACAAATTTTATGAGCACCAACTTCATGTACAATAGAAAAATGTGTGTTGTTTTGTTCGGAAAAGAGAAGGACTGATCCAATGAGGATCGTCTACTATGTTCTGAATGTAGAATTATCCTAAGCGTCTTGCTGGTGTGTCATATACATTTTGCAGAGAATTGCAAGGATCATTCAATTACATACTTACTTGAGGATGTGTGAATGAAAGACCTTCTAGTTTTTGCTGCTTATGCAACCGCTTTTCAGCAAACCTTCGGTAGGTTCCGCACTTTCGAAATATATTCTCGTTGCTATGATGAGGTTTTCGGCACTTTTTGTGGTAAACTTTGCTCAGAAATTCTTCTGTATGTATTACGTCTACATTTATGGCGGTGTCTGTTCATCTCAGTAGATCATTTCTTTCTTTTTTTTCCAGAAAGGATCGCTTATTATAGGAAAAAAATTTCCCATATTCTTTCTAAACACTATTTCTAAAGGTTCGATAGGATGTTCAGGACAGTTGCTTTTAGAAAATGCGACGTATCCTGCATGATAAATAATAGAACTATCAAAATCAAGCGTTTGAATTTCTTCTATGGAATCGCAGAACTCCTAAAACCAGTTCAATGCAGCATCGATATATCAGAGAAACGTTCTCCTCAATATGTATGTTGTTTTATTTCGTTTCGTACACTCGAGTGTTTTCAATAACTTTTAAATAAATAGGCATGCGGTATACTTTCCACGAACTGAAATTAAAAAATAACAATGTTCAATTTTGACTAAATGTATTGTGCCTAGTTCGGTTATCAATGAACAGAAACGTGAATAAGCCTGACTTTGACTTTAGGGAGTAGGAGGGCCACCCTCAGTTGTGTACAGAAAAAAGTGTTCATCGTTCCAGGATGAAGTTTGACGGAGAAATTCCACTTTTACTTTCTTGGTAGAATTTAGGGCTAAAAGCATTTTTGAAAAAACCTTGTCTCGAAAAAGAAGCATTTTGGAGCAAAAGTGTGACTGCAAAAGTTGTTCAGAATGTCATTTTCTATGGACTAAGAATTTACCGGCTGGAAATTCCTTAAGCTTGAATTTTTAATTAAAAAATAAGTAAATTTTAAAATTTTATTTTATTATTTTTTAAAATTTCGTAAATATTAATTTAAAAAGTTGAGTTGAAGGAATTTCGAGCAAATTCTTAGTCCATAGAAAATGACATTCTGAACAACTTTTGCTCCAGAATGGTTCCTTGTCGTGAAACTACGGGCAAGGTGTTGTCAAAATATTTTCTCTTAGCTAAAAATTAGAGAAAATGTTTGAATTTTGAATTTATTACTGAATTTTCCTCATTTGTATAGGACACTTCGAAGTATATGTTCTGAAGTTTTTTCGGTGTACTAACATTATTTGACTAAGAAAAAACTTAATTACTGAAGAAAATGTTGTTAAATTTCCGAGTTACCGAACGGCCAAAAACCCAGCCCCCCTTAACTGGACAAATTTATAGATAAAATTTGTTGCTATTTTGTTTCCTTTTTCTTGTTGTAGGACCGATGACTCAATAACTTGTCCATCATGTTCAAATACGACATTGAAGAGCAATGTAACTTATGCCATTGATTATTGATTTTTCGAGTTCTTTATAATACACTCACTTTTAGATTATATATGATGAAGGTTTTACACGTGAAATGCAAACAATACCAATAATTTGTTTCAGAAAAGATTTGGGGTGTGAATGGACAGGAGAATTAAAAAATTATGAGGTTCGCTAAATGTAAAATATTACTGTTACACCATGTAGCATTTCATTTCATTTTTAGGAACATTTACCTTTCTGTGATACCGCACATTCTCGTGATGAAAAATTTTCGGCAGAGCTGTTAAGAAAAAAGCATGAAAAACATTCATGTCGAGATTTAAAAGTAAATTATAGAAAGAAGATTATTTTGCATCTTAAAGCAACATTATTATATATGTTCTGTTTAGATGGTGCACCAAAATGATGATCACATAATACGGAGAGCAAGTTCATCATCGGTCTACCTCCAAGAATTAACGTCATTAGAGCTTGCTACAAATGAAGATTTGAAGAACAATCATAGTAATATTGTCTGATCACATGATGTCCACTGTATCTAGTTTTCCTTCTCTATTTAACAGTATATGAAGTCCCAAATCCACGTCGTCCGACGTGCACAACTTTTTTGTGTGATTCATCCATCATTGACTGGTTGATTATGAATTTTAAATTGGTTATTCAATTATTGCATACGAAAAACTTTTCCTTGCAATGCATAATTAATTTATTATGTTTATTTTTAACATCGAGTCATTTTCGCCGCATAAGTACGCACTAGTATGATAGTTTATTCGAAGTTTTTATCTTACGAGAACGACGAAAAGCTTTATTTGTAGAGGCTATGAAGATGGACTATGACTGGAGGGTGATTTTAAATTGCTGCAGAGTATTGATATTTGTTCGTTTTGATCAAAAAAGTTTCCGACCAGCTAAACTTTAGTTCGATTGAATCGAGTTTCACGTGAAACTCTAACCGTTTGTCGATAATATGCCATGAGAATCAACAGTATTTCGGCACTCTTAGTCTAAGTTCATAGACATGACGTACGCAGAAGAGTATTTGTCTGAAATATCAATCACACTGAAATCTGAAAAGAAGTGTGAAACACATTACACTAAACATATACGTACGTTCAACTTTATCTTTCTTACGTGTAGATATTGTATAATAGCCCTGTGTGAGTTTCATCAAAATCTTCACAAATTAATGTTTTGTTTTGTCTGCCTGCTGTTTTGGACATTTTCAACTTTTCAGACCTTATAACTAATCAACATTTTAGAGTTAATACTGAAGTTCTACTATTGATTACAGCAACTGCATTTGTGTCAATTGGGAAAACTTTATAGAATGCGGTGTTTTAGCAAGTAGAAAAAGAATCTAAAATACATGTTACAGTAATATAAATATCACTCTATACATATAGTAATATAATATTACGGTATGAAATTACGTAACCAAAAAGAGCATAAAATTTGGAACAAAATGTATGGTTTAAGATTTTAAGGGCAACCTTAAAAGATTTATGGACTACTGGATGTCCAAGCCAAAAGATCGTAGCTTAGAAACAGCATCGTTTACATGCAAACAACGATTTTTCGACTTAGGTAAACTTGAAGAACATCGAATTATCCATCATTTTGTTCAGAATTTTACGCTCTTTTTGGTTACGTAATTTACAAAATTTTCAAAGAAGCTCAACAGTTTTCCAGAGACCCTTTACGCGATCCAAACTTTCGTAAACGGATTTAGATAGCCCATGGCTGAATGCATAAGGAAAAATTGTTCTGGATTCGTTGTAGGCAAAGGAGATTTATGATTTTTGAATATGTTCTACACGATGAGACTACTTAGTAAAAAGTCTTTCTGAGAAAGATCAATTTTTCTCAGATTCTGAGAAAAATCAATAACTCATTGAAGAAAAATCGCATTGAGTCGTACAACGTCTCATTTTGACGAGAAAAGTCTGCTCTATTTTTCTGAATAATCGAAAATGACTTTTGACTAACTTTAAAAAAGTTGAAAATTTAATGCTTTTAAATTTGTAAAATTTCATCTTATTAAACTTCCTAAAGTTAAATGAAAATTTTTCTTCTTACATGCTTAGATACTCTAAGGAGTTCTCTACATAAATCTATTCTCGGATTTATTCTAGCTACTTTAGTTCACGGGAAAATTCAAAAATAAAAAGTGTCTTAAATTTTTGCGGTCCACTTTACATACGGAAAAGAATTGTTTTGCATAGAACATGCAGTGTTTTTGCTGATACGACTCCAACTGTGAAAGCCTGTGATTTGGTACTGAACAGGCTCAAACTATTGCACGTCCAATTAGACGAAATGAGATGGCACTTATAAAGGCCTCTTTGTTAGAAATACAAAATTTTCATAAAAGGTCAATATTGAGCTAACCACATCATCGGATAGCCCACGTTATCTCCTTTTGGGCTTCATGCTGGTTTTGGCTTCATCAAAACTTTCTGAGGATTTTCTGGAAACGTTTTCTAGAAGTTCTAGGAAATCAGCTTTTCGAACAGCTGTGTGCGATATAGATAGGAAAGTTCATCAAGACGTTTTCGGCGGTGTCAAATTGCAGAGCAAAATGAGATGCTTTCCATCTTCAGCTGATCTTTCCGAAAAAATGACGACAGTTTTGCTAGAAACAGCAAAATGCACTATACGCTAGCGCTACTATATCTCGAATGTAGTTTCATATACTCGTAATTTTTTAGGCTTTTTAGCCAAAATACTTCTCTTTTTGAGAGAAAGGTATAATCCCAAAACCGAGCTATTTTACGTTACTTCTATAAATCATTGCTACAAATTAGAACGAATCTGGTCTCTCCAGCTTCTATGTGCTCGGAGTACTACTAAACGCTAAATAGCATATTTTGGACCTTGCCTGAGCCACAAAGATGGGTTGCTGATAGGGGAGCCTTGATGCAAGATCATCTTATGATCTGCTAACAGTTACGTATAGTGCATATAGAAAAGCATTTTCTTTTTTTGCTTGTATGCTCTCACAAAAGAAATTATTTTCAATAGGAAATATTCATGACTATTCGAAATTTTTGGAATTCATTCAGAAAATTAAGTTACAGAAAAACAGAGCGCCTATCAGACAATGGACATTCACGGATTCTGAACTAAAACTGCTCTTTCGGCAAATGATTATTAAATTGAACTGGTTTAGAGAGATTAGTGCAACCCTCAAAAGTTAAACTGGACCCGGCGATGAGTTGTATGATTACCTCAAACGGCGTAGTTCCATACATAAGCTATCTTCTCACACTGACAAACTTTTCACTACCAAACATAGATTCATTTTTTAAACATAGATAAATTTTTTAATTCTTTTCTAATTAATTAGTATTCTCGTTCACAGAGACTGAACTGGGTCAGGTTCAAGTCAAATAAGAAAAAAATATTTTCTGGCCACGATCGTGGCTGAAAAAAATATTTTATATTTTATATTTCATGTTTTTTCTAGTTGTTTCAATAAAAATTTCAGCTTTTTTACAAGCAGAAAAAAACACAAAAACGCTTAATTCTCTCTCAAAATTTCGTTTCGTCCACAAACAAAAATTTTCTACATTTTTCTTGTAATCTGAAAATTCATTGAAAAGGTTTTCTATGGAAAATTCGATGTTTGACAAACGCGAAGATTTTGTAGATAATCCTTTTGATTGAGATGCACTTTATTAAGCCGAGTGTGTAAAACTCGCTGAGGTCTTATTCTTTTTCGCTATAAAAAATTCTTCTCTCTTTCTTTTCTTCTGCTAGTCCTACTTTTTGCGTTTACTCAGTCACTCTTTCTCAGCGTTCGAGAAAAAGATAAGTCGAAAGAAGAATAGTTGTACATCAAACATCTGAGGTGGTATGCCCAATATATATTTTAATTATTGTATAATTAGTGTCTAAAGCTGACACATTTTTTTAAAGACATTTTATTTTTACAGAGATAACTAATTATGATCTGGCGGCTAAATAGCATTTTCTGAGCGAGAGAGATAAAACGAAATAGCAAAGAGAAGAAAATGCATTTACATTATTATTCGTCTTATGTATTAATTAAGATAGAATCGTTAATGCGAATCATAACAAAGAAAGAAAAGAGAAAATAGTACATATAACTGTATATGTACATGCATATACTAAAGAATGAATAGTATGGATAGCCTGGGCGTGAAGAAGAAAGGACTAAACGAGTGAAACAGTGCAAAATACCTCCTAGGCATAACACCCTCACCGCCCCCGAAGGATGTAATATCCATCCGAGAAGTTTGAACGACTAAGGCAATTGGGAAGACCAAAAAGGAAAAAAATTGACGCTAACCCAATAACGCATCAATATATATAGAAAAAATGAAGAAGAGTAAAGAGCTCTCAAGCTTTGAAAGACAAATCTGGATAAGAATAATAAAAAAAAGATAGACGCCTGACTAAGATGATACAAAACAAGGAAAGAACAACTTTAAAGGAAATCTGGGAAAACAAACAAACGCAAAAAGCTAAACTTAAAACTAAGTGGTTATGCACCAAATAGCTGCCAGTAATGATGGGCCGTAAATAGATTCTCAGATAATCTTAATTCATAGTCTCGCTTTTGTTCTTCGACTATAGTCGAATAGTCCCAGGGACAAGATCCACTTGCCATCGACAAATTTTTTATTGAGATTTTTATTCAAATTTCTCCATCGCAATTTTTATCCTCTAAGCACTTGTTTAATTTCACCGATCTTGAATTTGTGGTATATAATTCTGTGAAGGCATATGTCATAATCTTTTGCATAATATTTTTTTGATGATACTATGTGCCTCATTTGCTTGCAATGAATGAATTGACGAGTTTTTGTTCTCTGAGGTGCTGAATGATGATGATGATGAGGTAAGGGAGCGACGGGTGGTGCTGCAGACTGTTCAATGATAGGTGTTTTAGAGGGGAGTGAGTATGATGAGGAAGGACGCTCACGTTCTCAATCTAAATCGTCTTCCTCAATTTTATCTTCTTCCTCCATCCAAATAATGTCATAGATATTTGGTTTCAGCAACCAAATGTCTTAGGTATCCAAATTCAAGTAGATTCACTAGGGCAGGTATGCTCTATTATATGCAATAATTCAACATTTTCGAAACTGGAATGATGTTGAAGCCGGAGTTATTTATTCAGTTCTTATTCGTGTGTAACATTCTTATTCTGTTAGGAAAAATGAAGAAAATAGAGTCGGGTTTTCTGTTAGCCGATCTGAGCGAACCATATGGTGTCTAAAATGTCTGTAAAGGATATTTCACTCGTTCGGCTTTCTAATTGTTATTAGCTTTGTTGTTAACTCTTTGTTTTTCTTCTGTATTTTAGGACTCGTTTGCAGAAATAATTCAGCATTTAGTGCAACGTCTCGAAACCGTTGAAAATACTAACAAGGATTTAGATAATAGATTGTCACAAACAATCGTAATGGTTAATGAGCGAAATCATGTCATCGATTGCCTACGCAGCGAAGTGTCCCTCTTAAAGTCTGCTTTAGAACACGTACAACAACAACAGGACATACAATCTTTTAACGATCAAAATCGACTGATACCTGTCACTAATGAATTTCGATGGCACATATCCGATATATTTCAAAGAATTTATGATGCACAACCTGAAAGACAACCCTTTGTTGATTCACACTATTTTCAGACATCAATAAATGGTTATAAAATGTTTGTACGTGTTTATTTGAATGGTAATGATTCGGCTAGACAACAATATATGTCAATATTTTTAAAATTATGTCCAAATCAATTTGATTCAGAATTACAATGGCCGTTTTGTGCTGATATTACGTTTTGTTTAATTGATCAATTAGGTCAAAATCATATTACACAAATATTTAGGTGTAGTATTCCTCGAGGAACATCGATGGGCAAAGGCATACGTAAATTTTATCAATTAAATATTATCCATAGAGAAAATAATCCATATGTACACAATGATACGATGAAAATTCATATTCGAGTTCAAAATGTTACATTTGACGCTCTATCTCATATTCATCAAGCTATTCGTTCTATGGAGAAAAGAGTGCAACAAGATGATGAACAACAACACTCGTTAGTTCTAAATGAAGTTGATGATGACGGCATCGATAATTTGATTTCAGCATAACAGATTATCTGCTTACGTTTCCATTGAACACAAAAAGTTAAAAACTCTCACAATCATTTAAACATTTTAGCAGTTGGATTACTGTGCATTCTTGTTCAAAAAAAATATACCAATAGTATAGTCTAAGGTCCGTTTATATTCTCAGTAGTTTTAATAATCTGGATTCAACTTGAAAGACCTAGACGTACCATGTGAATGCGTTTTCTCGATTAGAAAGTGTTCAGTCGTTATTTTTTTTAAATTCTTGAATAAGATAAAAAGTTGTTAACATTAGACTTATTTAACCTTTCATGTTAATTGACATCGAGCTAAATTATATCAGTTCTCGGTAATAAAACACATTTTCTGTTGTTCAAATAATAAAAGAAGAATAGGCGAAACCAAAATTTTTAGAGTTCCTGAACAACTCTCATGAAAAAAGGGCGCTGACTAAGTTATTCAATCACGAATGTTTCCGAGGAAGGTCATAGATAAGATTCAAACGTTTAATTTCTCTTCCTACTATTTATTGAATTCTATTCAGACGTTTCGGAGATCTCCGTCTCCTTCTTCAGTGTACAAGAAATTTGCAAAAACAAAACACAGATACAAATGATGTTGTATATATTCACTTTTCCGTTCTAATTTCTCGTTTTTTTCTCTCTCTTACTTCTTAATTCTGGTACGGAACAAGACGGCAAAACTGGTAGGGTAGACAACCACTCACGTGTAGTCTTCCTCCTCCGTACCAGAATTAAGAAGTAAAGAGAGAGAAAAAACCGAGAAATTAGAACGGAAAAGTGAGTATATACAACGTCATTTGTATCTGTGTTTTGTTTTTTGCAAATTTCTTGTACACTGAAGAAGGAGACGGAGATCTCCGAAACGTCTGAATAGAATTCAATAAATAGTAGGGAGAGAAATTAAACATTTAATAATAATCTATCGCCTTCCTAGGAAACATTCGTGATTTCAAAAACCTCTACGGGGAGACTACATTGACACTTGCAAGGAATTTGGAGAAACTGAAACAATGGGGGATAAAGAATGACGAACATATTCACTTCCTGAAAGATTGTAAATACCACAATGTTATACTGAAGGGTATGTGGATTGAGACCAACTACAACATTTTCAAGAACAGAGAATTGATTCAGAAGTCGATGATTCGAATGAGGAATAACACACTTCAATGGCGACTTAAACAAAAAAGACTAAATCAAACGAGGATCGACTCAGAGCACAAAAGTCTGGCCAGCCACATATACAACGATCAACCGAGAAGAGACCATGTACAAGACCTGAGGCGGATGTGCCGGCAACATATAAAGCTGAAAACTGATTTGCAATACAAACACCAGAGAAAGTTGCAGACCTTGCTGGAAAATCAGCGAAACGGAACATTACTAAAACTCTCTAGAACCAATAGCAGTAATCCAACGGATTCTAGTGTAGTGAACAAATCGACTATTTAATTCACTCAACCACAATTTCAAGTTCTAGAGAAAGGACTCAAATTTATACCAACTCCAAAGTCACTCAATTTAGTGGAAATTATCACAAATGTTGAAAATTCGATGTACTCAGCTTCGAAATTGATAAGAAGAGCTGCAATTGCCGAACTTTCTACCTATGTTCACACGTGGAAACCACCAAATAGAGACAATTTATCACGTGATGAACGGAAACTGTTGAACGAGATTAGAAAGACCGAAGATATTGTGATTACTTCAGCAGATAAAGGAGGAAAGTGTGTGATCCTAGACAAGGAGATTGATGCCAACAAGATCGAAGAAAAACTGAAGGACACACGAATGTATGATCAAGTGAAGAATCCTTTGTCCAAAATAAAGAAAAACTTGGCTCAATTCATTGACAAACTTTTCCAGCAAAACAAGATAACACAAGCACAGAAATTTTGGCTAAACTCAATTGATAATTTGCCTCAAATCAAAGAACAGCCGAAACTACATAAAACACAAGAAACCGATGAGATTGGTTACATGCACCTGAGACACGATAATGGCACCGATATCGAAATTTGTTTTCTCAATAGTGAAAGATCGACGCAAAACAGTAACAAACGTTGTGGTGAATACAAACGAATTTATTAAAGACATGAAAGAAGTTACCATGGATCCGACGGAGAGATTGGCTAGCTTAGACGTCGAAGAGTTATTTCCAAATGTTCCAGTCTCCAGAGCCATTGACCTTTTGATAGCAAGATTCGATCAGGCAAGTGCGTTACAGAACTCTTCAGCGGGTAACAACGATTTAAAAAGAATGACTAAGATGGACCTAAAGAAGATGATCCTATTGGCATTCAATAAGTGCTATGTTGCACTTAACGGAAAAGTGTATAAACAAAAACATGGCTTATCCATCGGCAACCCGCTCTCAGCGCTTTTAGCGGACATCTATCTCGATGATTATGTCTTCAAAAATTTGAGTGAAGTGAACGTTAATGGGAGTTTGCGTCGATACGTTGACGATCTGCTTATAAGAACTAAGATGAGCGAAAGCGACCTAAGGAACTATGTGGAAAACCAGTTGAACAAGATCAGAGGCAGTATAAGATTTACAATGGAATATGAAAAGAATGAGAGCCTTAACTTTTTGGATACAACTCTCACGCGAGATCAAAAACAATGGCGAAGTGAAAATTAAGTGATTTCGGAAGGAAGCAGTGGCAAATCGGTTCTTGAACTATAATTCCTGTCATCATAAGAGTGTGGAGAGGAAAATTGTAAGATGCACATAAGGCAAAAATGTAGTGAAGAAAAAAATTTGCCGTTTTTTTAGCCTATTCGATAAAGAATTTGACGTTGATCACGAATATGTGTCTTTTACGTTTTTTGAAAACGTTTTTTCGATCGAAAAAATCCAAAAACTTCGGACTACTCTAAAAAGTGAAAAAATCAAGTTTTCAAATAAATGGCGCTAGTCTGTTTCCTTTTCAGTTTCGCATCTCGAAACTAACTTTTTCAGATTCAGAATTAAAAACTGAATCTGATAAACTAAGTTTGAAAGTGCCAGAACGAGAACTGGATTTTTCCAAGGGCCGGAAACAAGCACGGCTAAAAAAGCCGGACCGATTTGGCAAACCTAACACCACTTTTTCCTGAG